GCAGCCGCCTGGGTGAGTGCGCAGGGCCAGCCTCCGGGCCAGCGGAGCCCAAACCCTGCTGCCCCGGGCGCCGTGTCTGAGTTCCCTCAGGCCCGTGGCTTCTCTGGGCCTCATGTCTTCATTTATCAAATGGGAGGATGGTGAGACCTACTTGGTAGGGCTGGTTTTAAACATTAATAAGAGATCAAGTTAAACAGCCTCATTGTGGTTAGTAATTCTCAATGTCCATCTTAATCTTTCCCAATGAAGTCATCTTGGATGTGGGAGCCTCCCTGTCCGGACGCTGAGCCCAGCGGAGGGTTCACAGAGCAGACGCCCACTCTCGGCCGGTCCTGCCATGCGGGGCTCGGCATTCCCACCCAAGGCTGGCTCACTGAGGCGCCCTGCGGTGTTGGTGGCACCGTGTGGGCACACTGAGCCTCTCGCACCGGTTCTGGGAGAGGTGGGGGCCCTCCTCCGAGCCCAGACCCCAGACGCCAGAGGCCAAGCTTGTAAGCAGACCTTCCCAGGGCTGGCAGCCTCAGGCCCCGCTGTCACCCCTTCTCTGTGAGAACTCCTGTCGGGGCAACTGTGTGTGTCAGTGTGTGTGTGTCTGTATGCCCGTGAGTCTGTGTGCTGGTGTGTGTGTATGTTGGTGTATGTCAGTGTGTGTGTATGCTGGTGTGTGTGTGTATGTTGGTGTATGTCAGTGTGTGTGTATGCTGGTGTGTGTGTGTGTGTTTGTGTGTGTGTGTGTGTGTGTGTACAGGGCGGGAGGGGTGAGGAGGCAGAGCCTGGGGAGAAACCCTTTCTCCTCCTGGGGAAATGCACACTGAGAGCGGGCCGACATGCTGTGTCCCCAGCGTGGCCGGCTGTGCGGGCCCCTGCGCTTGCTGTCGCCGTGCGGCTGGCGTGGTTCCGCCTGCGCAGGAGCTGTGGCGTGTGGAGCAGCTTCGCTGGCCCGGAGCCCCACCGGCACGCGTAGCAGAGCCACACACTGGAGCTGGAAGACGACGATTTCTCATTTTCCAAACCAATTTTGCTGACCTGATTTTCTTTTCTTTATCAACTCTTGTGCCAAGAAAGGGGATTGAGGAATGGAAGTAGCTTAATGGAACGCGCTGTGTGCTGCAGGGCTGGTGTCTCCATGGCGACGGGATGCAGGCCGCGTGCAGACGTGGGCTGAGATGCACTGAGACAGCTGTGCCTCTGATGGGGCCGGGTGCACGGATGGCCTCCTGGACTCGCGTGGAAATGCTGGTTCCTGGGCTCTGTACCGACAGGGGGCCGGGACCTCGGGGTGCAGGACCCAGGACTTTGTATCTGATCTACCTCCTTCCATGGCTCTGAGGCTCAGGGAGTCGCAGGCCCATGGTGTCAGGCCATGAGTCAGCCCACGGGGGTGTGGCGCACTCTCAGCCTCATCACCAACTGTTCAGAGGAGTAATTTCGGGAGATCCCTCAGTGTAGCAGGGGCCATGGATGGGAGGGGAGATGGGAGGGGCCAGGGAGGACACGCCCACCTCAGGAGCTTCAGCCCCATCAGCACAAACAACCAGCAGACCCTTTAAGTAGCAGGACCCAGGGGCCCTTGGAGGCCCCAGGACCGAGGGCACAGCCTTGCCCTGGGGGTGTAGGTAGTTGGGGGACACAGGTCACGGCTGATGGCAGCACGGTGCACTAGCAAACCCTGATGGTCCTCACGCCGAGGAAACCCCTGACCCCGACTCGGCTCCGTGGTTGCAGGGATAACAGCGATGGCAGCGGGAGGCACTCGCCGGTCACCTTCACATTCGCACGGGATCGCCACGGTTGTCCCTCGTGACCGTGTGTGTGGACTGGTGCGGTGGTGAGCCATTTTCCAGATGGGAGAACTGAGGCCTCCTCGGTTCCGCTGCTCCCGGCAGGCATGCGAGCAGGTCCTGGGCCGCAAGGGGCAGAAAGCGAAGCCGCAGGAGAACAGGGGTTCCTGGGGGACGTGTGCGCATAGGAACAGGCGGCAAGCGAGTGAGAACGTGCCTGAGATGGTGGCCGGTAGTGACGGCTGTTTTCCTCTTGGACTTCCACCTTTGTCTTTTTAATCACGGGGCAATGAATTATTAATAAAAATATCGCTCATGTAGTTAGATACACTGGCAGTGGGATGTGGCGGCAGCGGGACTTCGGACCCGAGTCCCTAGCCTCCCTCTGCCCCGTGCGTGTAAAGCCGTCATTCCGTCAGCCTCCGAAAGCCCGCCTGGAAATGGGCACGGTGATGGTGCCCACCCCCAGGCCGCGAGGACACGGTGGGGTGACCAACGCACGTCTGCACTCCACGCGTGCTAACCGAGGGCGTGACCTCGGGCAGCCAGCCCTGGGGCTCCGTGCACCGCCCCGTTTGCCTCACAGCGTGAGAAAGTCACCAGTGTCACCCGTCCAGAGAGAAGTAAACTGAGGCCTCCGAGGGCAAGGAACTCCCCAGGGTCACAGCGAGGGCGGAGCTGGGCTTTGCGTCTGGGCAGCCCGGCCCCAAAGGCGCTGCTCCGACTGCCGGCCCAGCGCTGGGAGGCGGCGGGACTTCTGCAGCCGCTGGCAAGGTGCAGGGTGGCGGCATCTGTCTCTGGGGGCCCAGCTGTCACATACAAAGGACGGGTGTCGCGGGCAGCTGCTTCATCTCCCCACGAAGCGCCCGCTCCTGACGCGCTGGGTCTGCTGCTTCCGGGGCTCCAGGGTGTGCCCTCCTCACAGCAAAGGGCAGTTGTGGGGCCTGTGGGGCCCAGATGCTGCGGAAGCTCCTGAGCCTCTTCAGTTGGGGTTTCTAGGAGGTTCCTTACAGAGCAAGACCCAGCGATCTCCCTCCTTCCTAGGCCAGGGCGGGGCTGGAGGTCCCAGCTTGGGAACAGAGACCAAACATATACCATCCTCCGGCTGCATGCTCACACGGACTCCATCCTCCGGCTGCATGCTCACACGGGCTCCATCCTCCGGCTGCATGCTCACACGGGCTCCATCCTCCGGCTGCATGCTCACACGGGCTCCATCCTCCGGCTGCATGCTCACACGGGCTCCATCCTCCGGCTGCATGCTCACACGGGCTCCATCCTCCGGCTGCATGCTCACGGCTCCATCCTCCGGCTGCATGCTCACACGGACTCCATCCTCCGGCTGCATGCTCACACGGGCTCCATCCTCCGGCTGCATGCTCACACGGGCTCCATCCTCCAGCTGCATGCTCACACGGGCTCCATCCTCCGGCTGCATGCTGACACGGACTCCATCCTCCGGCTGCATGCTCACACGGGCTCCATCCTCCGGCTGCATGCTCACACGGGCTCCATCCTCCGGCTGCATGCTGACACGGACTCCATCCTCCGGCTGCATGCTCACACGGACTCCATCCTCCGGCTGCATGCTCACACGGGCTCCATCCTCCAGCTGCATGCTCACACGGGCTCCATCCTCCAGCTGCATGCTCACACGGACTCCATCCTCCGGCTGCATGCTCACACGGGCTCCATCCTCCGGCTGCATGCTCACACGGGCTCCATCCTCCGGCTGCATGCTGACACGGGCTCCATCCTCCGGCTGCATGCTCACACGGGCTCCATCCTCTGGCTGCATGCTGACACGGTCTCCATCCTCCGGCTGCATGCTCACACGGGCTCCATCCTCCGGCTGCATGCTGACACGGACTCCATCCTCCGGCTGCATGCTCACACGGGCTCCATCCTCCGGCTGCATGCTCACACGGGCTCCATCCTCCGGCTGCATGCTCACACGGGCTCCATCCTCCGGCTGCATGCTCACACGGACGGGGTCTGACCATAGGGTTCAGACAGACACCCCGTGTCCACCTTTCCCTTCGCCAAGTCCTCCCGTCCATGCGCCCAGATGCCAACAAACAACCCCATTTGTGGAGCAGCCGCACGCCGCTTCCTCCTGTCTGCGCGCCCCCGGCCTGGGCGGCCAGGAGAGGGCATGGGGACCCCAACGTCGATGTGATTATTTTTTTTCTTCTGAATCAAAACACCCTCCTCTCATGAGAGGAGAACTCCATGTTTCTAGGCCGACTGACTCAGTGGGCTGCCAGCTTTGAAAGGACCTGAGAAAAACATATATAAACAGCATATATATTGGACCTCGGTGCCGGCGCCGGGCGGTGAGGGAAAAGAAAAGAAATGCAAAAATAAAAGAAAAAGAACATGAGACACACACAGCTGGTTATGTAACACCCGATGCGTGCTATCCTGGGGCCGGGCCGGCCAGCTGTGCACAGGGACCGGGCCAGGCCCCGGGGCCCAGGGGCCCGCACCGCCCCCGGTTTGTTGGGTCTGTGTTATTTCGAAGGCTTGCTTGTCCTTCGCGTTAGGGGCTGGGCTTGGGGCTCGGCGATGAGACCAGCAGAGCGGGGCGGGGCCTGGCCTTCGATGCTGAACGGGCCTCTGTGCTGGCGGCTGTGCGAGTCCGCGTGGGGGCGCGGGGGCCGCAGGTGAGAGGCGGCGATGGCGTGGGCCAGGGTGGAGGTGACCGAGGTGACAAGCGGGCGGATGGCGGACGTGTCTGAAGGCAGAGGGACAGCGCCTGCCGGCAGGCTGAGCGTAGAACCTGCGGAGAATGGAGCCAAGGCGGACGTCCAGGGTTTGGCCTGAGCCCGCGAGGGCGGGGAACGGGCAGGGCCCAGGTCAGGGGCGGGAACGTGTCCTGGGCGTCCACGTGGAGGTGAGCAAGCAGTGACACCTGAGAGTGGACCTCGGTGCCGGCGCCAGGTGGTGAGGGAATGATCGGCCCCCGCCCCCCGCCCCCAGAGAGCTCGCGGGGAAAGTAAATGGGGGGAGGGGGGGATCATGTTGGACCCAGAAGCAGCTTCAGAAAGTATCTGGCAGGAGGGGAAACCAAGGCCCAGAGAGCGCAGGTGGTTTGCTCAGGGTCACAGTGCAAGTGAGCGACAGCCCGTCCCTTGCCCGCCCCCCCCGCCCCCCCCCCAGGCTCGAAGGCTGCCGCCTGAGGCAGGAAGCCGGCGGTGACCCTTTCTGTCCCCCCAGGTCACCATCCTGGTCAGCCTGGCCCTCGCCTTCCTTGCCTGCATCGTGTTCCTGGTGGTTTACAAAGCCTTCACCTACGACCACAGCTGCCCCGAGGGGTTTGTCTACAAGGTAAGGGCCTCCCCAGGTGAGCATCCCGGGGACAGCAGCTTCCGGGGGAGGCTTATCAATGTCTTCTTCTCTCTGGCACCCAGATTCCAGGCCCGCCCCTCCCTGCAGACTGTTTAAGGGGTGACCGAGGGTCTGCCACTTGGCACGAAGGACTGGTCTCGGGGGACAGTAGATGAGGTGCACCCTGCTGTGAGGCGTCGCAGTGAGGAGAGTCCCGCTCCCTGGGGGACACTGCCCGTCCCGTCCTCGGGGCTGTCCCTGGCCAGAGCGTCCTGGTCTGAGGGCTGCGTCCTGTCCCCACGGCCCGCAGAGATGGATGACAGGCAGCTGCTGAGGGGCCCCTGGCCGCAGCCCCACTCTGCTCCTTCCCTCCAAGACCTGGGCCGGCTGCGTGGCCCCGGGCGTCCCCTCGCCCCCTGAACCTCAGCTGTCTTACCTGCCAAATGGGCACGCATCACCTGCCCATAGGCTTTCGTGAGGCTCAAAGGAGAGAACTTAGTAAAGCCAGCCAGCGAAGGGCCTTCTACATCAGCCTTTCCCACCTCACAGACCACTGGTTAGCGACCGCTGTTCCAGATAACCGCTCTCCACAAACGTTCGTCAGAATAGACGTCTGATCCGGATCTAGAGCAGGGGACGTGCGCCTTCGTAAACTACCCTTCCCGGGAGCCCACGCTGGGCGTTTCATGCACGTTCCCTCCGTGGAGCTGCACCCCATTGAGAAATGCAGGGGTTCGCCCCATTTCCATCCGACGGAAGGGAGGTGAAGGGCGTTTGGGGAGCAGCGGTTTCTGAGACGTCACCCAACATTGCAAAGTGAGGGAGTCGCACGTGCAACGTCCCCTTCAAAGCAGGTTCCCCAGGAAAGGTGCCACGTGTCTCCCGAAGACATGTCCTGAGCAGGAGCCCGGGCTCTGGGTGGTGGTGACACTGTCATCGGGGGCAGGTGCATATGCTGCGACGTAGCCACACGGGGGACTCTGTGCTGCGGTGACCATAAGGCAGGGAGGTGTCCAGCCCGGACACGGAATCCCCCCCAGGATAAGACGAAGGCAGAGGTGCCGCCATGTGTGAGGGAGAGGGGGCGGGGCGGGTGTGCTTCCATTGGCAGAGACGCTCCCTAAGAAATGCACTGGAAAATGAAGACACATGGGTCCTGGGGGACAGTTAGGGCCCAGGGCCCCAGAGCCAGGCCCCCCGCCCGCGTCTTGCTGAACATCTGCCCTTGATGGTGGAATTGCATCGATGCGGTCAGGAACCAGGCTTTTTACAAATAGATGCTTTTATTGATCTCAGACAGGAAGGGAGAGGGAGAGAGAGAGAAACATCAATGATAAGAGAACCATCGATCAGCTGCCTCCTGCACACCCCCTACTGGGGATTGAGCCCACAATCCGGGCATATGCCCGTGAGTGGAATCGAACCCGGAACCCTTCAGTTCACAGGCTGGTGCTGACCCAAACCAGCCAGGGCGGGAACCAAGGCTTTGATGGAGAGGAGACACAAGAGCAAACTAAAGGAAATAGGCGGCCACGGCTGCGGGCAGGGCGTGGGGTGGGGTGGGGTGACGGGAGCCGCAGGTGAGGGGGACCCGGTGGCGCCCACAGCGGCCACGGCGGTGACCAGCCAGTAACAGAGGAGGCAGCTGAATTAGCACCGTCCGGCCTCCTTCTCCCGCCTCAGGGAGTGTCGGCCTCAAGGCCGATGGTGACCTGGCGGGGGAGGCCGGCGGGCGCTGTCCCCTGCTCTGCGGCTGGGCCCCGCGGGGGGTGGGGGGGGTGTCGCCAGGCGGTGGGAGGGGGTGTGCGCGGTGCTGACCGGCTCTCTCGTCCCCAGCACAAGCGCTGCATCCCGGCCTCCCTGGACGCCTACTACTCGTCGCAGGAGCCCAGCTCCCGGAGCCGCTTCTACACGGTCATCAGCCACTACAGCGTGGCCAAGCAGAGCACCGCCCGCGCCATCGGGCCCTGGCTCTCGGCCGCCGCCGTCATCCACGAGCCCAAGCCGCCCAAGACCCAGGGCCACTAGGGGCCACCGCAGCCGGGGGGCGGGGCGCAGGGGGGACCCCGCTGGCTAAAAGCTCCAGTTACCAGACCAGGCTGTCCTCCCGGGGTGGGGGGCGGGGGGCTCCCCTGAACTTCCATGCGCTGGCGTCGTCCAAATCGCTTTCTTTTCATCCCTGGTATTGTCGCTTCTCCCCGAGTCCGGCTCGTGTACAAAGGCATGTTGCGTGTTGACCGTCCCCATGTAAGACATGTTCAAGGCCACTGCTTAGTGTTTGTTAGGAAACATTAAAAACAGGACAGGAGACAGAACACCAACAGGAAAAGGGTGAGCAGGCTGCGTGGGGAGGCGTGGAGGGCAGCGAGGACCCTCGGCTGCTCAGATGAGGGGCCGCAGCTTCTGTGTGGGCTCTGGGGGTGCGGGACCCGGGGCGACACAGGGGGGCTCTGTGGGAGCCACAGCTCACGGTCACAGCCCCCAGCAGGGGTGCCCGGCAGTCGGCACAGACGTGTGAGGGTTTCCGAGCCGCCTGGGGGGGTGGTGTCCGCAAACAGGAGCGGGCGACTCCCTGTGTCTTTTCCTGGTGTTTCTAGAGCCTCACCTGGGCGCTGCCCTCGTTCCTGACAGGCCGGGGGGGGGGGGGGGGGCGGGGGGGCTGCTGAAAGCGCACAGGCACCCGATTTTAAACTTTTGTTCGGTTGTTTGTTTCCCGAAGTGCTAATAGCAATGAGAAGAACAATAAAGGTCGTAACCAGGAAGCTCAGGGGGGGCCGGAGACCCAAGGCGGGGGCCGCAGCGAAGCGAGCTGGTTCTGAAGGAGGTGCACACTCGGGTCTCCTGCCCACGCGGGGTGTCGAAGCGACATCTGTCCACCCCTGAGCTGGTTTAGAGGCTCCTGACAAGGAGGCGGCACCGGCCTCAGCCCGCCCCACCCCGGCCCTGAACCCCCTCGGCACCCACGGTGCGCCCCACAAACACTCTGGGGAGGCCCACTCTGCGGGCGTGGGCTGCAGGCTGGGAGGTGTGCTTTGAGATGAGGTTTCCGCACGGAGCTCTGACGGCCATGCCAGGGCCTGGGTGGCTGCTGTGCGGCCGTCATTGTCATTGTGCACAGCAGCTGGGCCGAGAGCAGCGGCTCCCGGCGTCCCGCCAAGGCCGCCAAGGCCACCGTCCGACCCTCCCCCCTCCGCCCGGCCCCAGGTCACCCACCTCCATCCGTCATCCACAGCCCGTGACAAGCTGTCCCTAGCCCAGCCGCTGAGCGCTTTCTAACTTCGTGGTGTATTTTTGTCAGTAGGTAGCAGAGGCTGAGTATTTTTTGTGTAATTCTTGAACTTTTCTGACAGGAAACAAATAAAGATAGATGTGTCTGAGAGTCGTGGCCTTCCTTTATCTTCTGCTCCCGGGCCCGGCGGGGAGAGGCTGGGGCAGGGTCCCCGGGGCTGGGCCTGGAATTGGGTGGTGGGGGGACCTCCATCCTGAAACGATGCCGAGGTCAGAAGCAAGAACCGAGAGAGGCACCTGGCTACCTGCCTGCGGCCCAGGTCCTGCCCTGTGAGCGCCTGGGGGGCCGGCTGTGCGGGGCAGCACCCAGCCTTTCCCTGCCTGCAGCCCAGGTCCTGCCCTGTGAGCGCCTGGGGGGCCGGCTGTGCGGGGCAGCACCCAGCCTTTCCCTGCCTGCAGCCCAGGTCCTGCCCTGTGAGCACCTGGGGGGCCGGCTGTGCGGGGCAGCACCCAGCCTTTCCCTGCCTGCGGCCCAGGTCCTGCCCTGTGAGCGCCTGGGGGGCCGGCTGTGCGGGGCAGCACCCAGCCTTTCCCTGCCTGCGGCCCAGGTCCTGCCCTGTGAGCGCCTGGGGGGCCGGCTGAGCGGGGCAGCACCCAGCCTTTCCCTGCCTGCGGCCTGGAGGTGGAGCCAACGCGGAAGCAGCAAGGAAGGGCGAGGAGCACCTGTGCCCCGACCTAATGTGATTGGCCGCTAGCCCCCAGCCTGAGGGGGAGGCTGGGCGATGGGTGGGGCCCACTCCTGCTTGGCTCATTTAAATCTTCTCATGGCCTTGGGAGGTAGGGGTTATGGACCCCATTTGACAGATGAAGAAACTGAGGCTCAGAGGGATGAAGAGGGGCCCGAGGGCTGTGGCAGCTGAGCTGGGATTAAACGCAGGTATGTGCTCCTTGGCCACTCACCCCGCCCCCCCGCCCCCCCGCCCCCCACCCCGCTTCTGTGAGACCCTGAGCCGTCCGTCCGTCCGTCTGTTCATCTGTGGAGGCTGCGGCTCATCCTCAGACGTCAAGTCACAGAGTCACCAGCACTGGCTCGCCCCCAGCCGGCCTCGGGGTCCCGGGCTCGCGCTGACAGCGACGCCGGTGCCCGCGCCACGTGCCTGGTTAAGCGCTGTGTGTTCAGATACCTGCGTGGGGTGGGCCCAGCGTCCTCATCGCTGTCGTGTCCTCAGGAGCCCGGGCAGGGCAGCCCCTGGCTCCCACCCCGCGGTCAGGAGGCAGCTCCGCGGTTCCGGTACCGTCATGGTCACCACGGTGCCACTCGGCACTGACCGCTCCTGTCTGCCGTGGGCCTGGGAGCCGTGGGAGCCGGGAGCTGCGCTCACCCCTCCTCTCCCATGGGCGGCAGGCGTCTGAGGGGGGGGGGGGGGCAGGCCTGACCGGGCGGAGCGGGAGGCTGACTCCAAGCTCATGGCTGCACCAGGGCTGTGACCGAGCAGGCGTGCCGGTGGGAGGAAGGGAGGGCGTGTGGCTCCTGCCCTTTGTGGCTGCCGAGCTGGGGCGTGAGGCAGCCCCCACCCCCACCCGCGCACCGCCCGGCCTCCAGCCCTGTGAGCACACGCTGGTTTCCCATTACACAGTCAGCTCGCGGCTAAGTGGACACAGGTTCAAGCGCTCCGTCTCCAATGACCTGCTGCTCCGTGGCCCGAAGAACAAGCCGCGGCTGCAGGTGCGACGGGAGCGAGAGTGAGGGTCGGAGGGGCCTCAAGGCGGGACCAGCCCACACACTGCTCCCACCGAGTCAGGGTTTCTCCTCGGAAGGAAGGAGGGCCCTGTCGGCCCCCAGGAGCCCGAGGTCGGGGGTCGGTTCTAGGAGAGGGTAACAAAGGGGCTGCTCAGGGAGAAGCCGCTCGGGGTCCTGGAGGGTGCGGTTTCTGGTTTGGGAGGATGGGGTTCCGCGGGGCACAGCTGCCCGGCAGAGAGGGGGGCGGGAGCCAGGAAATGCTCAAAAACAGCACGTGGTTCACAGGACAGCTGTGTGTGCCTGTGCACACGGTTCAAGTCTTCTCGCCAACACTCGGACGTTCGCCCCGGGAAGCTCGCCCGTGCGGTGGGAGGGGCTGCTCCTGGGTGTGCCCTGCGCCAGGCTGGGCACCAAGATCCTGTAGGTGCAGGGGCTGCGGACGCCGCGGGCTCACAGTGAGGGCTGGAGAGACCGGATGGCACCCGGTGAGCCCGCCAGTGACCAGGTCAGGAGATAGGGAGACAGACGTTCTCCCGGAAAATGGAAAGACCACCTGTGGGAGCGGCTGTCGATGGGTTCACCCCCCTCCCCGCCTGTGATGCGGTCTCACCTAACTGGGGAGTCACGTGGGGAAAGGAGAAGAAAGAAATACCCAATCATTTTTCCAAGATGCACACGACACCGTCTCAAAGAGAAACAGAAAAACAGTCTCCTGGGCAGTTGCTAGAACAGGGCTGGTTTCCATGGCAACACCGCGCTGTTCCTCGGACCTGCGCAGCCTGGCACAGCGGGTGTGGATCTGCCTGCCCTCCTCTCAGGATGATGTGTGTCTGAGAACCTAGACTCCGGGCGCACCCCGAAGCTGCCCCCACAAACGGCCTCTCTGCGCTGGGCCCTGTCTCCTCTCTCCCTCTCCGTCTCGTCTCTCCTGATCGCTCCTTGCCTGTGTCTGCCTCTCTGGGGTCCCTGGCCAGCGCCTTGCTGGGTGTGGGGTGGGCCCGGGGCAGAGGGGAGCCCAGAGCCCCCGGGAGGAGCCCGGCCTCCAGCTCAGCGCCTCCTGGATCTCCAGCCTCGACCAACTCCGGCCCCTCCTGAGCTTGTGTCTCCATCTGTAAATGGGGATCATCATTGTACCAACTGCTCTTTTTGCAAGAATTCAATGAAATATTTTTACAGATTTACCTGTAGCAGGTACTCAACAAATTATAGCTACTGTATCTTGAATAAGTGTCTTACTTAGCCTCAGTGTTTTTATTTCTAAATTGGAATTATTTATAAACTAGAGGCCCGATGCACAAAATTCATGCAACGGGCTCAGCCCTCGCAGCCCCAACTTTGTCCAGAAGGTCGTCCAGAAGGTCGTTCGGCTGTCCAGTGTAATTAGCATATTATACTTTTATTATTATAGATAGCCCTTATAGGGCTGCTGTGGCTTAAAATGAGGCAGTGGCTGTGATGTGCCCATTCCTCTCCCTGGACTTAGGATGCTCACAGCACTGCCCTCGCCTCTAGGCCAGCGGTTCTCAACCTGTGGGTCGCGACTCCTTTGGCGGTTGAATGACCCTTTTGCAGGGGTCGCCTAAGATCATCATCCTGCATATCAGATATTTACATGACGATTCCTAACAGTAGCAACATGACAGTGATGAAGTAGCAACGAAAATAATTGTATGGTTGGGTCCCAACATGAGGAACTGTATTTAAAGGGCCAGGAGGTTGAGAACCACTGCTCTAGGCCTCCCTTACATCATCACCACCGATGCCCAGCACACAGCCACACCTGCCCCATTGTCCTCGGTCTGTCTCCCAGGCGCGGTGGGTGACATGATGTGATGGGTGTCCTGGGGGACGCAGCGGCGCGGTCTCCTTGACCACCTGAGCCGGGTGCTCCAGGACTGTCCCCGTGGGGGGAGGTGGCCCTGCTGCTGTAGCTGAGTCTGGGTTGCCGTTGGCCCGTGCATGCGTAGGGCCGTCCCTCGGGCTGCTGCCTGTGAGGTCCACCCGACCCGTGTGCGGGCTGGGCAGGTGCTGCCCCCGCGGAGCAGGATTCGCCCCAGCAGGGCTGCTGCCCGCCCAGATCTCGCCTGGGGGGCCCTGAGGAGCTAATGGGTGCTCTTAAGTATCTGCTTCCGTCCCGAATGTCACTCAATACCTGCCCCTTGCCTACAGAGAAGGCCATTTATGTAACTGTCAGCCAAATCCAACTGTTAGACAGCATCTGACTTCATTCCTCAGTTCACATACATTTGATCTTGAGACAACTATAGCACCTCTGGATTCTAATTTTAAGATAGATAGATAGATAGATAGATAGATAGGTAGATAGATAGATAATTGATAGATAGATAAATAGATAGATGATAGATAGATAGATAGGTAGATAGATAATTGATAGATAGATGATAGATAGATAGATAGATAATTGATAGATAGATAAATAGATAGATGATAGATAGATAGATGATAGATAGATAGATAGATAGATAGATAATTGATAGATAGATAAATAGATAGATAGATGATAGATAGATAGATTGATAGATAGATAGATAGATAGATAGATAATTGATAGATAGACACACAGACAGTCTTGGCTACACCTGTCACCATCATGTGGCCCAGACAAGCCATCTCACCCTTCTGAGCCTCATTTTCTGTAAATGACAAAAAAAAC